AGCCAGTTACTGGAGCAGAGACTCAGAGAAGCAACTGCTGAGGGAACCAGTGGCATAGTAGAAAAATATGAACTATTATGATTTGCTGGAAGCTCAGTACAGACAAGTCTGAGAGTTAAAAACTCCAGGGGAATCTAGTTATAGTGAGGATATTTTGGGATTTACCTCCAGAAGCCCCTCCCCCCCCACACCCCAAATTACCATGGTAAATATCAGAGGAAGATCTACTCATACTTCCAGCCAGTAGAAGAGGAAAGGAACATTTTTGAAATACATCAGGCAACTCCGTACTTCTTAACAAAGCCAGTCCTCAGGGGAAACTAATTAACTAGAGCTTAACCTTCTCAGATATTACCTGAAGAAGTAAAAAAATCAATTCCAGCCAGCTCTAGCCTTACATGTGGGAGAGGGAAATGCCTAAATTTGGCCCACTGTAGCTGTCCTGTCTCATCTAAGTATGGTGGTGGAGGTACTACCAAGAAACTCTTGTGAACCTCACAGTCCAGAGGCATTCATTGGCTCACTAAAAGACTAACACCTAATCATAAAACCGCATAACACTTTTCTTCACTCTACATCTCGCCACCATGTTATTAAAGCCCTATTTACAGCAGTTCCAGAAAATGGAAATCCTAAGCCAAAGACTAGGAGAAACTATTTGCAAAAAACACATCTGATAAAAACTATATTCAAAATACACAAAATGTTGCTAAAATTCAAAGTTGTTTTATGGATGTCGACAAACTGATTCTGAAGGTTATATGGAGAGGCAAATATTCAGAATCGTCATGATAATCTAGAAGAAAAATGCTAATGCACAGATACTCCTCAATTTCAAGGTTTACTATAGAGCTATGGTAATCAAGATAGTGTGGTATTAGTGAAATAATAGAAAAATAGATAAATGGAGTAGAATAGAGCCAAAAATGGACCCCTAAAACTATATAGTCAAAGTCTCTGACAAAGGAGCAAGGGAATACAATGGAACAAAGATTGTCTCTGCAACAAATAGTATTGGGACAAGTGAACATCCTCATGCAAAAAAAAAAAAAAAAAAACATGAAAGAAATAAGTGATAAACTTATTCATTAACATTAAAAACTTCTGCTCTGCAAAGGACAATGTCAAGAGAATGATAACACAAGCCAGAGACTAGTAGAAAATATTTGCAATAGATATATCTGATGAAGAACTGTAACGCCAGGGAGTCAAATATAAGGTGACAGAAGGAAACTTAACTTTGGGTGGCAAACACACAATGCAATATTCATATAACGCATTATTGGACTGTATACTAGAAATATATGTAATTTTATTAACCAGTGCCACCCTGATAGATTCAATTAAAAAAACAGACAAACCTGTTATCTAAAATATACAAAGGACTCAAAATCCAAGAATAAGAAACAAACAGCATGATTTGGAAATGGGCCAAAAATCTTAACAGAAACCTCACCAAAGAAGATATATAGCTGGCAAATGATATATGAAAAGATTCTATGTCATCAGAGAAATGCAAATTAAAATAGATGCTACTATCCACCTATTAGAATGACTAAAATTGAAACATTGACAATACCAAGTACTGGTGAGGATGTGGTTCAACAGGAACTCTCATGCATTGCTGATGGGAATTATGGTGCAGCATTTTGGAGAACAATTTTTATAGTCTCTTACAAAACTAAACATATTCCTATCATATACTCTAGAAAACACTTCAGTATTTACCCAAAAGATTTAAAAATTTATGTCTACATAGAAGACTGTATACAGATTTGTATAGAAGCTTTATTCATAATTGCCAAAACTTGGAAGCAACCAAAATGTCCTCAGTAGGTGAATGGATAAATAAACTATGGTACATCCAAACAATGAAATATTATTCAGTACTAAAATGAAATGAGCTATCAAAACATGAAAAGACATGGAGTAATTTTAAAGGCATATTACCGAATAAAAGAAATTCTGAAAAAGCTAAATACTATATGATTCCAACTACATAACAATCTAGAAAAGGCAGAACTATAAAGACAATAAAAAGTTTAATACTTGTAAGGGAAAGATGAACTGGAGAGAGATGAATAGGCTGGGCAGAGAGAAATTTTAGGATAGGGAAAATACTGTTTGATTCCATAATGGTGAATACATGTGATTATACATTTGTTCAAAGCCGTAGGACGTACAATGCCAAGATTGAACCCTTATGCAAACTGTGGACATTGGATCATTATGATGTGTCAACATAGATTCATTGATTATAACAAATATATTGTGATAGTGAGGGATGTTGATAATGGAGGAAGCTTTCCATGTGCGAGAGCAGTTGGTATATGAGAAATCTCTGTACCTTTCTCCCAATTTTGTTGTAAACCCAAAACTGCTCTAAAAAAATAAAGTTTAAAAAAAAGTTTGTTTAAAGGGGATCTGGTTATCCTCACCCAAATTTATGCCAGATAGGTCCTCCTATTTACCTTTCTCTTGGTAGAGAAAGTAGGGGGACATCCATGGATCTCTCCCTTTTCATCGAAAACTGTCATTGTCTGGAATATAGTTCCTTTACCTTTATTTGTACCCTCATTATTATAATATTATTTTTTTAAAATATATAATTTATAGGTTATCCAACATATTTGATGTTTAGGGTGAGAATGATGGTTTTTGTAGTATTTTACATATATCTATACCAGAAATACCATTTATAAACTTATTAAAACACAATAAAAATATTTTAATACTCATCCACAGATTTATGATTTTTGTTGCTTTTTATACATTTGTAAAGATTCAAGATTCCATCTGATATGTATTTCAGCCTAAAAAGAATTCCTTCATATGTTCTTATAGTGCAATTCTACTAGTGATAAATCTTGCAGTGTGTATCTTTCAAAATGTCCTTACTTTACTTTTAATTTTTATGAACGTATAAATCCCCACGCAACTTGACAGGCTTTCCTTTTTCTTCCAGTGACTTGAATATATTTTCATTGTCTTCCATCTTGCTTTATTTTCAAAAAGAGCTTAGCGAGGAATCATCCATTACTTTTATTTTGTTCACCTTATCTTCTTGTAATGTGTCTTTTCTGTGACCGCTTTTAAGATTATTTTTTTATTTTTCTTTGGTTATCTGCAATATCATTATGATGTGTGTTGGTATGGTTTTTCTTACATTGAGCTTAGATTTATGGGTTGTAGGTTTTTTTATCACAAATTTGAAAAATATTTTCATTTATTTCTTTAAATACATTTCTACCTTACAGCTTTCTTCTGATACTGCAATTTTGTGTATATTTATTTAACTTAATATTTTTCCAGAGGTCACAGAGTTTTTTTTTCACCTTTTTTTTTCATCATTGTTTATGAGTAGCTAATATCTATTGACCTGTCTCTACTTATAGAGATTACTGGAGTTCTTTTTTCTGATAACGCTCTTCTTACTGGTATTCTGCTCTGTACATTTAAGGCACCTGAGAGTCTCTGGTCTCCAATCTCTGTCTCTTAAATTGAATAAGACTGTTCATGCTTTGCCTGGTTTTCCTTCCTGTGCTGTGGTTTGGAAAATGTCTCTAGGAGCAATAACAACAAAAACATTTTTTTTTTAATTCACTTTTCTCAAAGATCACAGTTCTGTGCATCCTCCTTTCTGATGTCTGAAAACTGTATATTTTCGTACTTTTTTTTCTTTTTGCTGCTTATTGTGGAAGGGCTAGTTCAGTACTAGTTATTCTGTCCTGAACAGAAGAGTAAGACTCTATTTCATTTGTTGAAAATGACAATTATTCATTACAACCACAGTTAATCTGGCATAAAATAGACATAAAGTAAATTGAACCTATAAGAATATGTTTCATTTAGAGAACTAGGTGCATTATTTCTAGAATAACTCCATACTTGACGTTTTCATCAATTAAAATTTTGAATTATTTTCTTGAGCTGTTTTCTCTCTTGGCACTTAAAACTACATGTAATTTATGAGAACTCTTAATCATATATGTGTTAGTCTTTTTATTTTTGAGGATTAATTTCAACAACAAATATTTAAGATCAAACTGGAAAAATGAAGCTGTCAGTTTTTTTAAATTAAATTTTGATAAATAAAAATCCATTAAAATTTTAAGAAGAAGAAAGTAAAATATGATTTGTTGGACTCACTGTCAAGTATTTTGATGACTGTTTTCCATAAATTATCTTCAAATATCCACATTTGTAAAGTATTCAAGTAAAATATTCTGATATTTAAGAAACTCAGAGCATTTCTGGTAAACTTTCAGCTTTCTTATTTTCTAGACTAAGACCCTACAATTACAGTTAGGATGTGAATATTATACTATGGTTAAGAGAATTTTTAAAGATGAATAAAATTTAATCAACAACAATTAATTACTGTCAAATATCATGCCACGGGATTAACAATAACAAATACTGCCTGTTGTTTCTCCCCAGGCTAGTAAATAAAAATATTTGTATATTCTTTTATTATTATTATTATTATTATTATTAAATTAATTGGTGTGGCATTGTATATTTTTTTAATAAACTTATTGATGTGACACAAAATCATACAGGTTTCAAGTGTACAATTCAGTAATACGTCATATGTATATTGCGTTGTATATTTATTTTCTTAAATATATCTTGAAGCTTTTGAGCTAACAAGATGTCTTCCCAGATTTAGGGAAAGTTTCCAGGCTACACATCTCTTCTTTGTGCTCTCACGGAGTACCCCGGTCATGTTTCAAAAATAGAGCTTAATTTACAAAATTGTAATAATCTGTTGACTTCTTTTCTCCATTTGATTTCAAATCCCATGAGGCCATAAATGGTATATTTTTCACTCCAGCATCAAATACAGAGTAGATATTGTATACTTATTTGTTAAGTAAACAGATACATAACTTATTTTTATATTTCAATTTGTATAAATATAAGATGATTCTGGTAGGAATATGAACATTAGTCAAATGGTTAGATGCTAATTTTGTATTTTGTGTCTTCTCTTACAGGCTCTTAAATCTGATCTACAATGGAAAAATTTCTTTTTTATCTGTTTTTCATTGGCATAGCAGTGAGAGCTCAGATCTGTCCAAAGCGTTGTGTCTGTCAAATTTTGTCTCCTAATCTTGCAACCCTTTGTGCCAAGAAAGGGCTTTTATTTGTTCCACCAAACATTGACAGAAGAACTGTGGAACTGCGGTTGGCAGACAATTTTGTTACAAATATTAAAAGGAAAGATTTTGCCAATATGACCAGCTTGGTGGACCTGACTCTATCCAGGAATACAATAAGTTTTATTACACCTCATGCTTTTGCTGACTTAAGAAATCTGAGGGCATTACATTTGAATAGCAACAGATTGACTAAAATTACAAATGATATGTTCAGTGGGCTTTCTAATCTCCATCACTTGATATTGAACAACAATCAGCTGACTTTAATTTCTTCTACAGCATTTGATGATGTCTTTGCCCTTGAGGAGCTGGATCTGTCATATAACAATTTAGAAACAATTCCTTGGGATGCTGTTGAGAAGATGGTGAGCTTGCACACCCTTAGTTTGGACCACAACATGATTGATAACATTCCTAAGGGGACTTTCTCCCACTTGCACAAGATGACTCGGCTAGATGTAACATCAAATAAATTGCAGAAGCTACCGCCTGACCCTCTCTTTCAGCGAGCTCAGGTACTAGCAACCTCAGGAATCATAAGCCCGTCTACTTTTGCATTAAGTTTTGGTGGAAACCCTTTGCATTGCAATTGTGAATTGTTGTGGTTGAGGCGTCTGTCCAGAGAAGATGACCTAGAGACCTGTGCTTCTCCAGCACTTTTAACTGGTCGTTATTTTTGGTCAATTCCTGAGGAAGAGTTTTTGTGTGAGCCTCCTCTCATTACTCGTCATACACATGAGATGAGAGTCCTGGAGGGTCAAAGGGCAACCCTGAGGTGCAAAGCCAGGGGTGACCCTGAACCTGCAATTCACTGGATTTCTCCTGAAGGGAAGCTTATTTCAAATGCAACAAGATCCCTGGTGTATGATAATGGAACACTTGACATTCTTATAACAACTGTTAAGGATACAGGCGCTTTTACCTGCATTGCTTCCAATCCTGCAGGGGAAGCAACACAAACAGTGGACCTTCATATAATTAAGCTCCCTCACTTACTAAACAGTACAAACCATATCCATGAACCTGATCCTGGTTCTTCAGATATCTCAACTTCTACTAAGTCAGGTTCTAATGCAAGCAGTAGTAATGGTGATACTAAAATAAGTCAAGATAAAATTGTGGTGGCAGAAGCAACGTCATCTACGGCACTACTTAAATTTAATTTTCAAAGAAATATCCCTGGAATACGTATGTTTCAAATCCAGTACAATGGTACTTATGATGACACCCTTGTTTACAGGTAAGGAAAATTCAGCAAATTTTTATACTTACTATGCATCTTAGTGTAAGGCCTGTTAATGTACTACTGATTTTTTTTAATTGGCAGTGCTACACTGTACTGTAATTTATATAGTACTTGATTTTATAAAGTCTGTAATGTCAGGCTTGTGAAAGGCAAATACATGTGGGGAATTATTTCGAATGGTGTTATTTTTAGAGAGATCAAATTTGTATTTAATATTATGCTTACCTATTTTTTTCCCCTCATTTAAGAGATGTGACTATCAGAGAACAAGATTTATTTATTTTAAAAATTCAAAAACATACCAGAACTTACACATCCATATGAGTGTTCTTTCCTTCAAGGAAGTCACGTTGGGAGGCTATACCATTATCCCAATGATGCTGCCATTGCTCAAAGCACTTTTGGAATTATCTTTAGAACCTTCGTCATACTATTTTGAATATCCTCAGTGGTGGCAAATCTTCGTCTTTTGAGGGTGAATTTGAATTTTGGAAACAAGCAAAAGCCATTTGGAGCCAAGTCTTGTGAATAAGGTGGGTGATCAAGATGGGTATTGCCATTTTTGGTCAAAAATAGGATGTAACTATAAAATAATGAGACTGATATTTTGAGTAATTGAGTTATGTGTGTGTGTGTTGTCTCATATACACTGGTTCTTAAGACAGTTCCAAAGAGAAAGTTTATAAATAATTTGAGCAGTGTAAGTATCACTGGAGTTAAGTATATAATCTCCTGTGAAGACACTGATCAAGAATTTGCATCTGACTAAAGAATTTCTGGTATGTTTTTTCTAAAGTTCAGCCTCATTGATTTATAGTCACATCTTGTCTCAATTTTCAGTTGGAAATATTCCTTTTTTAACCCTTCTATATAGTTTCACTTGTGATAGACTATTATTACTCCTAGGAAATCATTCAAAATCATGGCTTCAAAAAAAATATATATATATGTATATATTTGTCTTAAAGCTTTTGAGAAATCAAAAGCTTTATATACCTATGTGATTTCTTGGAGATAATTTGATTTTCACTCATATGGAAATAAGATAAATGTTTGAAACTGAGCATGAGTGCTGGCAGGAAAAAACAAAACTGGCCTAGCGAGCCATGTGATCAATCTTGGGCAAGATTCTATCTGGTGGAGTTTTAATTTCCTCATCTTTAAAAGGAAGGGATTAGAGTAAATGGTTTCTAATATCTCTCTTATTACTAAATATATGGAGATGTAGATTATGATGCATGACTATTAGCATAAAGTTGTTTGCTTTCGTCATACTCAGCTCCTCACCTGGGCTGTGTGCCAAAGACAAACATCCATCCCTACCCTCCACCTTCCTGTAGCTACTACACATTCTGTATATTTTAAATGTTAGCTCTGTGAAATAAGGTAGGTTCTATTATCCAAATTCCAAGATTTTAATCCTGCCATAAGAAGTAAATTCTATGTGACTTTGAGGAAATGGCTTGAATTCTGGACTCTGACATTTGTCATGTGTAAAATTGTGATAATGCCTACCTTATACAGTCATTGTAAAAATTAAATTATAATGGATATAAAATGCTTAGTAATGCCTGATATTTATCATCACTCACTAAATGGTAGTGATTTCAATCACAAATACATATTCTGGCCTAAGAGTTTCCTGGTATATTTAAAACATATTGTTCAAGGAAAAAAAATAGAGTTTCAAGCCTTTTTTCCAAATTAAATTTTAGTGTAGGTCATAGTTTAGGTTGCCACCA